GTGTGTGTGTGTGTGTGTGTGTATGTGTGTTTGTGTGTGTGTGTGTGTGTGCGTGTGTGTGTGTGTGTGTACACTCACCAAACTGTTCTCACCTAATTATGGTTGAAAGTGTCGAATCTCAGCTCCTCGCCCTGGTTCATTCCTAGCCGATACTGGTTTCACTTCCTCCTGGCCGCGTGTGCGCTGTCGTACCTCTTCTTAAAGCTAGGTATGGATTCTGCCTCTGCCACTTCGCTGTCTAGGTCGTTCCACTTCCTGGCCACTCTAAGGCCAAAGAAGCGTTTCCTAACATCCCTATTCATCGTTTTTGGACGTCATTGCCGTTCTCCGATGCATTTACTGGGGTTAGACTCTAACAGCCATATATCAGACCAATCCCACGGTTTGTCCATATCCATTTGTAGTCTCTCCTGGTCTTCTACTGTTGCTATTGTCCTCATTCAGTTTCACATCATCTGCGAGCACATACATCTCTGACTCGATTCCCTCTGCCATGTTAACATTCACCGAAAACAGCGCTGGTCTAAGCACCGAACCTTGTGGAACCCCACCCATTACACTTGCCCTGACACCACCTCTCTGACAATAACTCGTTGTTCCTTGGTCCACTGCAGTGCTTCACCCTGTTATTCCTACCTGCTTCCCCGGCTTTGGTTTCAGTTTCTCTTGAGAGACTTAACCGAAAGTTCGCCTTTTGTTATCCAAAACTATAGTTCACCAATCTTCTTTCTCTCCTACCTGTGTGTGTGTGTGTGTGTGTGTGTGTGTGTGTGTGTGTGTGTGTGTGTGTGTGTGTAAGTGCGTAAGTAAATAAGTAAGTTTATTTAGGTAGAGGCACACATACAGTTACACAAATTATCATACATAGTAACATTGGTGCAGATTACCTACCAGGATTACCTAAAAAAATAAGACAGTATGACTTATTTCCATTGTGTGAGTGTGTTGGTGTGTGTGTGTGTATGTGGGTACGGAAGTGGGTATTTGCATGGGTATGTGTTGAAGGGTGAAAAGGGAGCTATAGACATAAAATAGGGGAGTTAATGGGACAGTTTTCGATCAGTCCTGAACCTGGAGTGACACTGTAGATTGATGGGTCCAGCTCATCTTGACACACAAACACAGGTGTTAGTAACTAATTCCGTGACGATGAGATCGAATCTGATCTTAAGTGTTGCTCCGACACGCTCGATTTCTGGGAAATAGAACTCTCCGCGATGAACGACTGCACCAAGACCTGGTGCCACCATCATGGATATGAGATGTCAAGATACACCTGACTCTCAGTTAGATGGTCGACTAATGTCGGACACTATTGTGTGAGAGCCACACCTGTCTATCAGTTTGATAGTTTACTACTGCTGGATACTGTTGTGTGAGAGCCACACCTGACTATCAGTTTGATAGTTGACTGCTGCTGGATAGTGCTGTGTGAGAGCCACACCTGACTATCAGTTTGATAGTTGACTGCTGCTGGATACTGTTGTGTGAGAGCCACACCTGACTATCAGTTTGATAGTTGACTACTGCTGGATACTGTTGTGTGAGAGCCACACCTGACTATCAGTTCTACTCCTGGAAACTCCTGTCACATTCGTTATTCGCAAATACAACGAATATTCGTTAAAAATGTTACTTCATCTATGCATAATACAATAGCTGTAATACTCAGGCACCATAATACAATAGCTGTAATACTCAAGCACCATAATACAATAGCTATAATACTCAAGCACCATAATACAATAGCTATAATACTCAAACACCATAATACAATAGCTGTAATACTCAGGCACCATAATACAATAGCTATAATACTCAAGCACCATAATACAATAGCTATAATACTCAAGCACCATAATACAATAGCTGTAATACTCAAGCACCATAATACAATAGCTATAATACTCAAGCATCATAATACAATAGCTATAATACTCAGGCACCATAATACAATAGCTATAATACTCAGGCACCATAATACAATAGCTATAATACTCAGGCACCATAATACAATAGCTATAATAATCAGGCACCATAATACAATAGCTATAATACTCAGGCACCATAATACAATAGCTATAATACTCAGGCACCATAATACAATAGCTATAATACTCAGGCACCATAATACAATAGCTAAAATACTCAGGCACCATAATACAATAGCTATAATACTCAGGCACCATAATACAATAGCTATAATAATCAGGCACCATAATACAATAGCTATAATACTCAGGCACCATAATACAATAGCTATAATACTCAGGCACCATAATCCCAATAGCTATAATACTCAGACACCATAATACAATAGCTATAATACTCAGGCACCATAATACAATAGCTATAATACTCAGACACCATAATACAATAGCTATAATACTCAAGCACCATAATACAATAGCTATAATACTCAGACACCATAATACAATAGCTATAATACTCAAGCACCATAATACAATAGCTATAATACTCAGACACCATAATACAATAGCTATAATACTCAAGCACCATAATACAATAGCTATAATACTCAGACACCATAATACAATAGCTATAATACTCAAGCACCATAATACAATAGCTATAATACTCAAGCACCATAATACAATAGGTATAATAATCAGGTAATATACATCACGTGGTTCTTAAAAACCTTAAGCGGCCATAATGTTAATCACAAGATAGAAAAAAAACTTACGTGACAGAGGCTGAGTAAGTTCAGCTTGGTGATCACCTCATTAAAGTGAACTTAACAACCTTGGTTTCTGAACTGCCGAGAAAAAGGTTGAGTTTGGTTGGATTGTATTTGTATCCGAAGCGTCCAGTTTCCCATACAGTGTTGCGTGGTTGTTGTGAGTTGTTCCAGTTATGGTATCGTTCAGTGTTCATCTTTATAAGGAATTTAAAGGGACATATAGTGTCTTATATAGAGAGTGCCAGATATAAGGAAGTGTTATATTGTGGGTGCCAGATATAAGGAAGTGTTATATTGTGGGTGCCAGATATAACGAAGTGTTATATTGTGGGTGCCAGATGTAAGGAAGTGTTATATTGTGGGTGCCAGATATAACGAAGTGTTATATTGTGGGTGCCAGATATAACGAAGTGTTATATTGTGGGTGCCAGATGTAAGGAAGTGTTATATTGTGGGTGCCAATTATAAGGAAGTGTTATATTGTGGGTGCCAGATATAAGGAAGTGTTATATAGTGGGTGCCAGATATAAAGAAGTGTTATATAGTGGGTGCCAGATATAAGGAAGTGTTATATAGTGGGTGCCAGATATAAGGAAGTGTTATATAGTGGGTGCCAGATATAAGGAAGTGTTATATAGTGGATGCCAGATATAAGGAAGTGTTATATTGTGAGTGCCAGATATAAGGAAGTGTTATATTGTGGGTGCCAGATATAACGAAGTGTTATATTGTGGGTGCCAGATATAAGGAAGTGTTATATTGTGGGTGCCAGATATAAGGAAGTGTTATATTGTGGGTGCCAGATATAAGGAAGTGTTATTATGTGAGTGCCAGATATAAGGAAGTGTTATATTGTGGGTGCCAGATATAACGAAGTGTTATATTGTGGGTGCCAGATATAAGGAAGTTTATATTGTGGTGCCAGATAAAACGAAGTGTTAAAATTGTGGGTGCCAGATATAACGAAGTGTTATATTGTGGGTGCCAGATATAACGAAGTGTTATATTGTGGGTGCCAGATGTAAGGAAGTGTTATATTGTGGGTGCCAATTATAAGGAAGTGTTATATGTGGGTGCCAGAATATAAGGAAGTGTTATATAGTGGGTGCCAGATATAAAGAAGTGTTATATAGTGGGTGCCAGATATAAGGAAGTGTTATATAGTGGGTGCCAGATATAAGGAAGTGTTATATAGTGGGTGCCAGATATAAGGAAGTGTTATATAGTGGATGCCAGATATAAGGAAGTGTTATATTGTGAGTGCCAGATATAAGGAAGTGTTATAATTTTGGGTGCCAGATATAACGAAGTGTTATATTGTGGGTGCCAGATATAAGGAAGTGTTATATTGTGGGTGCCAGATATAAGGAAGTGTTATATTGTGGGTGCCAGATATAAGGAAGTGTTATATTGTGAGTGCCAGATATAAGGAAGTGTTATATTGTGGGTGCCAGATATAACGAAGTGTTATATTGTGGGTGCCAGATATAAGGAAGTGTTATATTGTGGGTGCCAGATAAAACGAAGTGTTATATTGTGGGTGCCAGATATAAGGAAGTTTTATATTGTGGGTGCCAGATATAAGGAAGTGTTATATTGTGGGTGCCAGGTATAAGGAAGTGTTATATTGTGGGTGCCAGATATAAGGAAGTGTTATTTTGTGGGTGCCAGGTATAAGGAAGTGTTATATTGTGGGTGCCAGATATAAGGAAGTGTTATTTTGTGGGTGCCAATTATAAGGAAGTGTTATATTGTGGGTGCCAGATATAAGGAAGTGTTATATTGTGGGTGCCAGATATAAGGAAGTGTTATATTGTGGGTGCCAGATATAAGGAAGTGTTATATTGTGGGTGCCAGATATAAGGAAGTGTTATATAGTGGGTGCCAGATATAAGGAAGTGTTAGATATAAGAAAGTGTTAAATAATGACTGCCATGTATTAGGGTCAAGTAGAGCAAGTGCCAGATGTGAGGAAGTGTTATATAGTGAGTTACATGTATAAGGGTCATATACAACAAGTGTCAGGTATAAGGATCATGTACAACAAGTGTCAGGTATAAGGGTCATATACAACAAGTGTCAGGTATAAGGGTTATATACAACAAGTGTCAGGTATAAGGGTCATGCTCAACAAGTGCCAGGTATAAGGGTCATGTACAGCAAGTGCCAGGTATAAGGGTCATGCACAACAAGTGCCAGGTATAAGGGTCATGTACAACAAGTGCCAGGTATAAGGAAGCAGTACTGGCACTAGCGCCGCCCACTACAGGCACTAACCTTACCTTCCCCTCCACAGACTCAGATTCGGAAGTGAGTGTGGGCGGCGGGGGCGGCAGTGACGAGGGCGGAGACGATGACGGGGCCACGGACGATGTAGAAGAGGCCGGAGGCGCCCCGAAGAAGCGGAGGTGCGACGCTGGCGGAGGCAAACCTCGAAGAGCCAGGACGGCCTTCACCTACGAACAGTTGGTGTCGCTGGAGAATAAATTTAAGCACACGAGGTATCTGAGCGTGTGTGAGAGGCTCAATCTCGCCCTGGCGCTCAACCTGACGGAGACGCAAGTCAAGATTTGGTTCCAGAACCGCCGAACTAAGTGGAAAAAACAGAACCCCGGGTGTGATGTCAACACACCCACCCAGCCGCCCAGTCCCCCGGGGCTCCTATCGTACCACGGGGGAGGCTTCCTACCTCAGCCGGGGCCACCACTGCTATGTCCGGCACCCTTGGCTTACCTAGGGGGCCACAGTGGCCCCGGAGGTGGGTTCCCAGCCCAGGGGGCCCTCACTGCTCTATACCTCCACCACCTCAAGAACTGACAGGCCGCCCACCGCTAGGCCTAAGCCAGAAGGCCTAGCAACACCACCCCATCGTAAAAAAGTTTTACCAAAGTACGTGTGTGCTTCTCGCAGCACGACAGTTGTCGTGGTGCGACGACTCGACGCGCAACTCTTTCTTGTTATATATTACAATAAATTTTATTTACTGTATTTCAGAACAATGGTTTTAATAGTGAGGAATCCTTAGACACACACACACACACACACACACACACACACACACACACACACACACACACACACACACACACACACACACACACACACACACACACACACACGGTAACGTAGTGGAGGCAGGAACCTTATACATGTATAGATTTTAGACGAGGTTTGATAAAGCTCATGGAGCAGGATGAGAGAGGACCTAGAAGCAATCAGTGAAGAGGCGGGGCCAGGAGCTATGAATCGACCCTTACAACCACAAATAGATGAGTATAAGTAGGTAAGTACACAGACACACACACACACTTCAGTCATAGAGTCGTCAGGAAGGGAATAGCCTAGCTAGTGAAGTAGTGGAGGCAGGAACCATACATAGTTTTAAGAAGAGGTATGACAAAGCTCAGGAAGCAGAGAGGGAGAGGACCTAGTAGCGGTCAGTGAAGAGGTGGGGCCAGGAGCTGAGTTTCGACCCCTGCAACCACACACCAGCACGGATTCATGGAAGGCAAATCCTGTGTCACAAGCCTACTGGAGTTTTATGACAAGGTAACAGAAGTAAGACACGAGAGAGAGGGGTGGGTTGATTGCATCTTCTTGGACTGCAAGAAGGCCTTCAACACAGTTCCTCACAAGAGATTATTGCAGAAGCTGGAGAATCAGGAGCATATAACAGGAAGGGCACTGCAATGGATCAGAGATTACCTGACAGGGAGGCAACAACGAGTCATGGTACGTAATGAGGTATCACAGTGGGCGCCTGTGACGAGCGGGGTCCCACAGGGGTCGGTCCTAGGATCAGTGCTATTTTTTATATATGTGAATGACATGACGGAAGGGATAGACTCTGAAGTGTCCTTGTTCGCAGATGATGTGAAGTTAATGAGGAGAAAAATCAGATGAGGATCAGGCAAGACTTTAAAGAGACCTGGACAGGCTGGACGCGTGGTCAAGCAACTGGTTCCTCGAATTTAACCCCGCCAAATGCAAAGTCATGAAGATCGGGGAAGGGCACAGAAGACCACAGACGGAGTATGGGCTGGTGGTCCAAGACTGCAAACCTCGCTCAAGGAAAAGGATCTTTGGGTGAGTATAATACCGAGCAAATCTGAGGCGCACATTAACCAGATAACTGTTGCAGCATATGGGCTCCTGGCAAACCTGAGAATAGCATTCCGATACCTTAGTAAGGAATCGTTCAAGACTCTGTATACCGTGTGCGTCAGGCTCATACTGGAGTATGCAGCACCAGTTTAGAACCCACACCTGATAATGCAAGTCAAGAAATTAGAGAAAGTACAAAGATTTGCAGTAAGGCTAGTTCCAGAGCTATGGAGAATGTCCTAAAAAGAAAGGTTAAGGGAAATCGGCCTGTCGACACTGGAGAACAGGAGGGTTAGGGGAGACATGATAACGACATACAAAATACTGCGAGGAATAGCTAAGGTAGACAGAGACAGGATGTTCTAGAGATGGGACTCGGAAACAAGGAGTCACAATTGGAAGCTGAAGACTCAGATGAGTCAAAGAGATGTTAGGAAGTATTTCGTCAGCCATAGAGTTGTTAGGAAGTGGAATAGTCTAGCAAGTGAGGTAGTGGATGCAGGAACCATACATAGTTTTAAGACGAGGTATGATAACGCTCATGGAGCAGGGAGAGAGAGGACCCATCAGCGGTCAGTGAAGAGGCGGGGGCAGGAGCAGAGTATCGACCCCTGCGACCACAAATAGGTGAGTACACACACACATTAACGCTGATTTGTGAATAATAATAATAATAATAATAATAATAATAATAATAATGATAATAATAATAATGAAAATAACAGCAATAATAATAATAATAATAATAATAATAATAATAATAATAATAATTAATATGATAATAATAATAACTACAATAATAATAATAATAATAATAATAATAATAATAATAATAATAATAATAATAATAATAATAATAATAATAATAATAATAATAATAATAATTATCATTAACTTAACATGTCGTCCATCACACGTCATTAAGTATGTGACGGCGGTGTGGAGTGACCCTCATGGGTCTAGCGCCACCCCCAGGAGACCCCCCTTTTCCACATCCCCCCGAGTGGCACACACTTGATCTGAGGAAGTAGAGAGATGGCCGTTCTCCCCTTCCTCGGATCAAACCCACATTACTCCCCATTCCACACCTCCCACTGGAGCTGAATAATCCCTACGGATTTAGTGCTTTCCCCTGTGACTGCAATGATTAGAACACGTAATCTGGTATATGTAAATTACAGTTTCAAGTCTATCTACTACACCATTGTCATTAAGGCTGCATATCACCTGTTTACCACAGTCAAGAATACTTTAATATTTAAAATAGTGATTAGTGCAAACTACATGTATATACACTGACAGTATATACATAGAGAATATATATACTGGGAGTATATACGTTAAGAGTATATACACTGACACAGGATTTAGAATACGTTCAAATAGCATATTAATGTAAAGTGGGTCGATAAATGTGTGTGTGTGTGTGTGTGTGTGTGTGTGTGTTGTGTGTGTGTGTGTGTGTGTGTGTGTGTGTGTGTGTGTGTGTGTGTGTGTGTGTGTGTGTGTGTGGTGTGTGTGTATAACGGGAATAATGTTAAATTGGACAGACAAGTCAGTAAAAAAATTAATTACTGGTCGGCCAGGTGATCAACCTGGCTGGTACTCGATATACTGTATCAGCTGTAGCGGCCAGACACATAGAGGCATATCGACCGTACTCAGGTGATACACACAACACACATGGGTGATATATATGTATGTAGATAATACACACACACACACACACACACACACACACACACACACACACACACACACACACACACACACACACACACACACACACACACACACACAAGTGCTCTACGTGTTTGTGTTGGAGTGACTGCAGTTCCCACTAGATTACACTTGCAATATTAATGTCCCTTGATGAAGCAATAATTGGTAATAGCATAGTTCCCCCTGCTCCATCATCCATTATGCACACCTATAACTATTTTAGTATTTATAAATATAAGTTGAATTACTGGTCCCTCTCTCTCTCTCTCTCTCTCTCTCTCTCTCCTTCTCTCTCTCCTCTCTCTCCTTCTCTCTCTCTCTCCTCTCCTCCTCTAGTCTGAATTATCCTGGTCCTGTCTCCCTGCTTCCCTCACCATCCTGCTTCCCTCACCTTCCCTGCTCTCCCTCACCTTCCCTGCTTCCCCTCACCTTCCCTGCTTCCCCTCACCTTCCCTGCTTCCCCCCACCCCCTCTCTGCTTCCCGTACACCTTCCCGCTCACCCCCTCCCCCTCCCCCTCCCCTCCCCCCTCCTGGTGTCCCTACTAAGCGCCTGCCACACAAGGCAGCAGCACACTGCTGGTGTATCTAATTTTGTTATATGTAACGACAAATTATCCAACTTTCTTGTCCAGACCCTTTACTTCCTGACCTTGATGCTCCAGACCCTTTACTTCCTGACCTTGATGCTCCAGACCCCTTACTTCCTGACCTTGATGCTCCAGACCCCTTACTTCCTGACCTTGATGCTCCAGACCCCTTACTTCCTGACCTTGATGCTCCAGACCCTTTACTTCCTGACCTTGATGTTCAACCCTTACTTCCTGACCTTGATGCTCCAGACCCCTTACTTCCTGACCTTGATGCTCCAGACCCCTTACTTCCTGACCTTGATGCTCCAGACCCCTTACTTCCGCCTTGATGAAAACCCCCTTACTTCCGCCTTTGAGTCCAGACCCCTTACTTCCGCCCTTTGAGCTCCAGACCCTTACTTCCTGCCTTGATGTTTCCCGCCCCTTTTACTTCCTGACCTTGATGTTCTACCCTTTATTTCCGACCTTTGAGGCCCCAAACCCAATTTCCTTTGACCTTAATTTCCGCATTTTACCCTACTTGAGGGCCCGGGGCCCTTACTTCCGCCCTTGAGCTCAACCCCTTATTCCCCGACTTGATGTAAACCCCCCTTTTACCTTGACCTTGATGTCCGGGCCCCTTATTCCCTGCCCTTGATCCCCAGCCCCTTTTATTTCCGCCCTTTGATCTCCAGCCCCTTATTCTGCCCCTTGATGCCCGACCCCTTCTTCCTGTACCGTTTGCTCCGACCCCTTTAAATTTTCCTGCCCTTTGGGCCCCCGCCCCCTTTACTTCCGAGAGCCCCAAAAACCCTTTATTCCCCTTTGACCTTGTCTGCCCCCTTATTTTCCGCCTGAATGCTCCAGTCCCTTCTTCCTCCCTTGATCCCCAAACCCCCTTTTTTCTGCCTTGAGCCCAGATCCCTTCCTGACTTGATGCCCCCGCCCCCTTTTTCCTGCTTTGTTTCCAGACCCTTCTCCCCCCCGATCTCCGGGGCCCTTTATATTTCCTCCCCTGATCTCCCCCTTTTTTCCCTTCCCCAAAGACCCCTTTTTTTCCCCCTTGATCCCCAAACCTTTTTTCCCATTAGCCCCCCCTTTTTACCTCTCCTTTTTTCCCCAAAACCTTTTTTTTTTTGACCTTTCTCAACCTTTTCCCATTTTATTAGCCCTTTTTCCCTGTTTTTATTCAGTACCTTTTTTCCCTCCCTTTTGATGTCAGATTTTTTCCCTGATTGTGTAAAAACCGGGGCCGAATGTATATTTGGAAAGACCCCCAGCCCCCAAAAAAGAGAAAAAGTTTTAAATTTCCCTTTTTTTAAGAAAAAATTTTTCCCCATGAAAAAAATTTTTTAAAAATTTTTTTTTTCCCCCCCGACCTTTAAAAAAGCCCCCCCCAACCCCAACAAAAGTTTTTCCCCCAAAGAAAAAAAAATTAAAAAAAGGGGAATTGTTTTTAACAAAGGAAATTTTAATGAAAAAAATAAAAAAATTTCCCTGAATTTTTTAAAGAAAGGATTG